AATTTAACTTATGGTGATATAATTAGTATCATTCAAAAAGAAGGATTAAAAATGTTCATAGACATGAAACTTAGTCAAAAAGCTGCTAAGGGTAAACACAAAACTAAATACGAATTAGGAAATTTCTACGAACAATATAGTCTACCTCCTGTTGCACCATCACGACGCAAACATAATAATAAGAGATCTTCACACAAATACCCTGCTAAATATAAGAAGAAATATTCACCTACCAAATCACCTAATAAGTATTATGCTAAACCAAAAAGGAAATATCACAAGCAAGCTAATCACTTTAAGATAAAGTCAAAATCTACCAAAGATGTTACTTGTTACAATTGTGGAAAAAATGTTCATTATTCTAATAAATGTAAACTTAAAGAAAAACTTAAGAATAAGTTTAATCAACTACAAATTACTGAAGAAAATCAAAGTCAAATATTCGACATATTTAAACTGATTAATAATCCAAATCAATCTCCTGTTCAGTCTAGTCCATCATCCAGTGACACCACTCCTTTGAGTGATACTTCTACTTATTATTCTCCCAGTGAGAATACTGACGGAGAGATTGAATTATGATGTAATGATACTTGCTGTAAACAAATTAATGTTCTTAGTAAATCACAACAAGAAGAAGATTCTTTAATAGAATTAATTAATAAATTAAAAAATCCTGAATTAAAAAGAAAATACACTAATAAGATAAAATCTTTGCTAATAAATAAAGACAAAAAACCCCATCAAGATAAACCAATTATTAGTCTCACAAATACTTTAGAAAGATTCCGAAAAAATAAACATAAAGAAATCATTTTTACAAGATTTACAAAATGAAATTAACCAAATTAAACTAACCATTCAAGAATTAAAAGCTAAAGACAAAACATTAGACGAAGAAATTGCAATATTAAAAATTAATAAAAATCTTAATGATTTCCAAAATAATAATGATAGATGAAACTAGTTCTAGTCCTGATCCTAGCCATGTCATCTTTGATAATTCATCAACTAAATCTAATAGTGATAATCACAATGATAGTCATCGTTTAAGTATTATTAATAGAATTCATATTCAAAAATGATATTCAAAAGTCAAACTAGTTATTAATGATTTTAAAATAGAAGTCACTGTCCTCATTGATACCGGCGTTGATTTAAATTGTATTCAAGAAGGTTTAATCCCCACAAAATATTATCATAAAATTAGTGAAAAATTAAGTTTTGCTAATGGAAGTCAAATGCATATTAAATATAAATTACCCAAAGTACGTATTTGTCAAAATAATATTTGTTTTAAAACATCCTTTGTTCTAGTCAGAAATATGACCGGCAAAGTCATCCTACAAAGTCATCCTAGGAACTTCGTTTATCTTTTTACTATATTCATGTACCACTACTAATCATGGAATAACCACACAAGCTTTTAGTTAAACAGCGACTTTTAAATTATTGTATCCTCCTGAAATCAAAGAATTAAATCAATTAAAAGAATATTCTATATCCCAATTTATTAATCGATTAATCAAACAACTCAAATTTCTCAAAGAAGAAGTAAAATACAAAACAATTAAAACTCGATTGACTAATCCAATTCTTATATCCAAAATTGACAAATTTAAAAACTATTTAGAAAATACCGTTTTACAATCCTTTATATTAAAATTTTTAGTGAAAGACAATTCCTACTAAGTCTCGTCCTATTCAAATGAATCATGAATTAGTGAAAATATGCAAAAAAGAAATTAATGAATTATTAAAAAATAATATCATTAGTAATAATAAGTTGCCTTGATCTCACCCTTCTTTTTATGTTAATAAAAATGCTGAACTTGAACGTGTTCCACGATTAGTAATTAATTATAAACCGTTAAATAAAGTTTTAGAATGGATACGCTATCAAATCCCTAATAAAAAGATCTCATTAAAAGACTTAGTCAAGCTGTCATCTTTAGTAAATTTGATCTTAAAAGTGGATTTTGACAAATACAAATTTATCCTGATGATCGCTATAAAATTGCCTTTACTACACCTTTTCCCCATTACGAATGGAATGTCATGCCCTTTGGATTAAAAAATGCTCCTAGTGAATTTTAAAACATAATGAATGAAATTTTAAATCCTTTAGTCATTTTTCTATTGTTTTCATAGATGATATCCTCATTTTCTCTAAGTCAATCAATGTACATTGGAAACATCTTAATTCCTTTCTCCATATTATCAAATATAATGGTCTAGTCATTTCTGCTCCTAGGATTAAGCTATTTCAAACTAAAATTAGATTCTTAGGCTATGATATCCACCAAAGTACTATTCTTCCTATCAGTCGATATATTGAGTTTGCTTCTAAGTTCCCTGATGAAATCTTAGACAAAACCCTGTTACAACGGTTTTTAGGTTTCTTAAATTACATTGTTGAATTTTACAAAGACCTTAGGAAAACTTGTCAACCCTTTTCTGATAGGTTGAAATATAATCCTCCTCCTTGGTCTTCTACTCATACTATTATTGTTCAACAAGTCAAAAAATATATCAAGACCTTACTTGTCTTGGCATTCCTACTGAAAATTCATTCAAAATTATTCAGACTGATGCTTCTGATGTTGGTTATGGTGGCATTCTCCTTCAGAAAATCACTCTCCATAATCTGAACAAATTGTTCGTTTTCATTTTGGTGTTTAGAACAAAGCATGGAAAAATTATAGTACTATTAAAAAAGAAATTTTATCTATTGTTTTAGGTATTAGTAAATTTCAAGATGACATTTTAAGTCAAAACTTCATATTACGTGTTGATTGCAAAAGTGCTAAATATGTTTTGCAAAAAGATGTTCAAAATATTGGTACTAAACATATTTTTGCTCGATGACAATCCATTTTAAGTATTTTTGATTTTGATATTGAATATATTCCTAATAGTCAGAATTTCATCCCTGATTTCCTTACACGAGAATTTTTACAGGGAGGATAGTGCATGATGCCTACTCCTTATTGTTCTACAAATAGATTACAAGTCATAAGATACGGCAAAACTATTCGCTATTATAAGTTTATAATATCCTATTTAAAGTCACTACAAAATGACTCTTACCTTCAATTCAATCAGATTAGAAGTTATTGCAATTTCATTGCTCATTACACTAATCTAGTTAACTTTCATATGGATAGATTAGATGTCCTTAGTGGATGCTAATCTAGTTCTGTCATTTTTCTTTTAGATGTCAAGGCACAAACCTACTACAAAACCTCTTGCCATTATGCCAACCAGTCAACCCATTGTTGCACCTCCAATTGATCTAGTCAACCGATACCAAATTCTTGGTAATATTCATAAACCTAGTTACACTTCGGCTCTGGCTTTAGACTCTTTTGCCTGCCAGTCAATTATACCAATGCCTCCTAACAAGTCTACCCTAAGAACAGATTATATTCTTAAACAGTCATTCAACATTTTTTACAAAGAACCAGTCCATAAAAATATTCACAATGTTCTTGAATTAGTCAAATCCTATTTCCCTAATAGATGGCATTTCATTCCTTCCCATCTCGATAAGTCAATAACCTTTTATAAGGATATTCTTTTCCACCATAAGTCAATAGTCATTAAACTTATCTATGATCGCGTCCAGACCAGTAAAATTATTTATCATTCTTTATACATTCATAATATTGTTTCCATGGAAGAGTAGGGTCTCCCTTTTCTACTACGAGACCTTCCTAACTATGATATACAATATAGTTACTATGATTACATTGAAACTTGGTTCAAAATCCTCCTACATCCAAATGAGTCATAGTCATTCTTGGTTTTTCTCATTTGACCACAAATTCAAATCAGAATTCCCTTCTTGGTTCCAGAGATGGTGGTCACAGCATGGTGTCATCCCAGAAATCATCCCTTCTGAGTTAATAGAACAAGTCAATTACTTTTCTTCAATTTACAAGCTCAGCCAGTATAAAAGTCAGTTTCCTGGTTACTCCATTTTATGTTCAAATATAAAGTCCCTTAAATTTTTAAATGGCAATACAGTCTATCCAATAACATAGTTAGTTGTCAACATTTTGTTAAATGGTGAGATGCATTCAAAGCCCATCGTATTATTGAACAAGTCTAGCAAGAATTTCCAGTTAACATTCATGTCCCAACTCCTATAATGGTCAAGTCTTAGCAAAACCCAAATGCTTCAATCACACAAGAAAGCCCACTTCCTCTCACTACAGTCAGACTTGAAAACCCATCAACCAGCATTGAACCTTTCAATCCCACTTCCTCTCACTACAGTCAAACTTGGAAACCCATCAACAACCTTCCAAATCCAAGTCCTCCAAGGTCAAAGCCCAAAGCAAAGCCTAAGTCAATCTCTGGTGATGAATTGATCCAAATGGCCAAATTATTGATGGCCCAAGCAAAGTCACAAATTGAAAATTCAGCCTCAGATGATTCAGCCTTCTCTAAAGCCTTAACCAGTCATGATCGAGATATGCAAAGTCACAAATTGAAAATTCAGCCTCAGATGATTCAGCCTTCTCTAAAGCCTTAACCAGTCATGATCGAGATATGGTCGACAATTCCAAAATGCTCAGGACCCATAAACCTAAAAAAGTCATTGGATTCCATATATATACATCAGCTTCAGTTACATTTCACCTAACTTTTCTCTTTGTAAGTAATTTAGTTACTAGTAAATGTCATCGTCACACAATGGGTTCAATTACCATATGATGAGCTATGTAAACAGAGATTCATAATGCTTTCCAAAAAAAAAACAAATTCAGTAATGCCATGTATTGAAAATTGCATATGCCTACAAGAAGAAAAGAAAAGAAAAGAAAATCTGTATATGCCCACCTAAATAAGAACTCTGTAACTTCCATCTTGTCTATAGTTATCCAATTTTCTTGATCTACCTCAACTGCAATGCTTATCGATCTCCATGGATTAATGGCTATAATTTTCCATAAAACAATAATAAATCAAATCGAATGTGTAACACATATGAAGAGAGCATAAGATGGAGTACTCTTATTTACATTTTCTTCAAAAATCATACAATTCGAGTTCAGAGGGAAAACTTATTCACAGTTCAAGAAAACAACCAATTATTCTGAAGTACAACAAATTCCCTACAGTATTATGCTCTCTCCTTAGCATGGCTAGGCTAGATAACCCCCTTCATTTTTAATTTTATTTTTTTCATAAGGGGAAAATATTCTGAATTCGACTCTCTCTCAAGTACTAAAAGAACTATGATTCCTTCTTTTAATTGACTCAGTTACCAGGGGGAGCTCTATAATATGCAGGAACCATTACAGGGAAGAACATTTGTCTGACTCCTTCTGCCTTTATAATTGGAAAAATGATACCCGATGCACCCTGAAATGAATCAAATTAAAAAGACACATTACTAAACAAAGAAAGGAAATTTAAGGAAGAAAAAGAATTGAAAAAAATGAATCAATTCTGTTTATTTATTGCAAAATGATGGACATACTGACCGAAATCAATCTGGCTCCAAGCCACACTCGTTTGGGTGAAGGAAATGGAAGCAACAAGCGGCCAACGCCATAGACAGCAACGGCAAAGAAATGGAGAACGAGGCTCAACGGGCGAGGGTTTAGGCCGGACAGTAGAGAGACAGGTCCATTTGAGAAAATGCCACCAAGGCTCAGATAATCAAAACAAGCTCTGCGCATTTCTTGCCTTGCTTTGTCAGGGGATGCACAGAAAACCTTGTACAGTGCACCTGCCAACGTGTTTATTGTGGATGCCACCGGCTGCAAAAGTAGATCAATGGAAACAAGATCAAACCATTTTGTAAATGACAACTCCAAATTCTTGCTCATACTAATGAGTTTAAGTTTATTCTTCCTCAATTCAATAACTCTTTAACATAAAAAAATGGACAAAGCATGATACAATCGACAATGTTGGTGAATAGAATGTCTATGCCACGACTCACCTTACGCAACGTGTAGAACGATTCAAGATACTTGCACAAGGCAGTGGCATCATTGAGATCACGTAGCGGTCGGAGAAGATCCCTTAGCACAACAATGTCCGATAGAGCCACAGTCATCCCTCCTCCGGTTAACGGATGTCGCATATTAAATGCATCACCCATCAGAAGCGCACCGGGAGTGGGATGGGGAGCAGCAGGCATGCTTCTATTTGGCATTGTTCTTATGTTTCCTTTGTCAATTGCTGCTAAGAAGGACTTACACAACTCAGGAGGAATCTGAAACACAAAAATCACTTCATGAATCAAAATTTAGTGCTAAAAACAAAATGAGTAGTGTTTTCTGTTGAGTGTGTTTTGGAGACCTGAGGAGCAACCACTGTCTTCAAATATTGTTCCATTTCGCCATTTGAAATGGAAGGTACCTTCTGCCCTGGTACATCAACAAGGCAGCGAATCTCGGTGCTGCTGATGGGATAGAACAGGATTGGGGAAGGGTCAGCAAGAATAACGTGCCCGTGATTCGCATGTGGGAGCTGACAGTTTTCCAGGACCAAGCCAACAAAACAGGAAGGCACATCTACCTGTAGAGAGTGAAATTTGATTATGTTTGTGTCAAGTTCAACAGAATGTGGATAACTAAACTTGCTGATGAGTTCCAAATCCTAAACACATGAGCAGGGTATCTTGAATCCAAGTTTCTAGTAGGAAAAGAACTAGAGACCTAAACACTACATTTGTTTCAGCAGAAAATGGTTTCCACATTTTCTAGTTTGTACAATAAAAAATGAAAGTCAACAAAAAAAATAAACTTATTGCGCAGAAAATATTTTCTATTTTTGAAAAGTAGAAAACATTTACCAAACAAAACTGTTTCCAATGCCAATAAGCTACTACCACCACCACCACCAACATCCCCTACCACTACCACTATGACCACCCTACCAACATCCCTTCCACCACCCTACCACTATTGCTGTTGCCGCTGCTACCACCACACCAATTTCACCACTACCATAACCACTAACATATTAGTTTCACGGTCGCAACTAAATATAAATAAATATTGTTAAAAAAATTATTTTTTGCCAAAATAATCAAAATCTAAGTTGAAAACATTAGATGGAGTTATGAATAACAGAACAAGATTGTGGAATTGTAACATGATTAGGGGCAGCATATTAACCTTGGAAGTGCAGAGAGAGCGTCGCAAATTCGAAAAACAACCATCACAGACAATTGTGAGTGGAGCAAATGCTGCGGATTCCTTACCATTCTTGGTCTTGTATTGCACTCCTTGGATTGTCCCCTTTTCTTCAAGTAGAGATGTAACTGTTCCTTGTTCTAATGTTACGCTATCAAGTTTAAAAGTGGAAATTGATTAGAAATTGAGAATGAATGGCTTATTGGTCAAATAAGTCTGCTTGGCACTAACTAGCATTCGTTGATTAAGTAATTAAATAGCACAAAGAATTTTGCATTCTACATTACATCGAGTTCTACTTTAGTTCTTTATATTTTAATAATCGTAAAATGTGACACTTCCATTAATTTGATATTAAATTGCCTAACGAAAATTGTAATGTGACCTTTATTTAAGAATTTTTTAGGATAAAAATGCAGTTTTCTTATGAAAGCAAAACCAACCATTTTAGGAAGGGAAGAGGAAACAAAAACAATACTTGGGAAGAGATGCAGCTTTCTCCCTCATTCGCTGTATGAAACGCCCGTTGTGAAAGCTTCTTCCGGCCACATCAGAACCAAAATTTTCCAAAGGGTAAGGCAGTTTAGCATCTCTACCATCCTTATACAGAGCATATCCAATTATTCGCTGGGCATCAATCTCATTCAGAGCATCTGCACAATGCACATATATACATGTATTAATATACTGTCACTAGTATTTACATAATACCCACACCTCATTCTAAGACAAGAACAAGCATAAATAAAAGAATCAAAACAAAAAAATTACAACAAATTTTATTGCGAAGCAGAGAATTGTTCTCATGGAACAGATTCTATTCTAGTACTGTTGTGAGATACCTTCTTGTACTTTTATTTGTAAGGTGGTTTTTGAAGAAACGGAGGGCAGAGTATGTTAGCTTGAGGCCCAGAGCCGAAGTAAAAGTTACTCAATTATACGTTGTCCAGGCCCATGTTAGGTCTAATGGCAACACCCCAGACCAAAATTGTTAGTGCGATAGCTAGTGATAAAACTAGGAATTTAGCTGAGGAGGCAATACTACGTCAAATCGATTTAGGAGACAAAGTAGTGTGGTTTGATTTAATAAACAAATCAATTATCAATATTTCAAAATTATTCTAATTTCACACATATTATTACAATAAAACAATCATGCCATTCAAATTTATAGAACTCTCATGCAATACAAATAAAAATTATTATAATAAAAATGAAAATATCAATAAAATACACCTAATAAAAGGAAAGGCTTTCTTGAATTTATTTATGAAGCAAATAAGGAGTTAATCTATGTTCCTATTTTAGACAATGGTGTATTGTGTTTATTGAAAAATTTAAAAAAGAATAAAAAAAATTAGCGGCATGATATATATATATACACACACAGTGTGATTTTAAAAAAATAGAGGGAGTGTCAGTGTAATTTACCTAAAAGAAAATTGTAAGAAGTTGAGATACTTAGAATAATATAAGGCGGTTGAATTAAGAAATTTCAAGTTTTGTAGTTCTTATTATGCACAGTAAATTTGATTTGCTCCTCTTGGTGGAGGTAGACGTATTCCTGAACTACATGTATTTTTTATCTTGATATGTAATTGGAACATTAAGATCTGTTTGGCAATTATATGTATCCTATAGCTTTACCTTGAAGACCCAACTCAATTAGTTTCAAATAGCCTCCGGGTTGAAGAAGTTCACCAACAATTCTATCTGGCTCACTCAAGTCTCTCTCGATTACGTGTACTCGCCGACCATCCTGCAATGATTATAGATGCTGATTAGACTCAAACCCAACAGAACTAAAAAAAACACATGTACAGAAACCATCTAATAACCAAACAAATCTTGTCATGATGCTTTTCTTTTTTGTCGGTTCGCCCACATCTTGTGCATTTGTACATGGGAGAGGATTCACTCCGGTTGGATTTTCCATTTTGAGAGTGTTGTTGGATCTCCCGTGGGTCTACCATGGAATCCGCATCGATAATCCGAACCATTCAATATGTAAAGCTTATTGAATACTTTATCTCGGTAAAAAGATCACGTTGATCGAATAGCGATTGTTATTTAATCACATCACTGTTATTTAATCACATCACATTTGTATCAATAGTTTATTTTAAAAATTATACTTACCGTTGATACAAATGAGACATGATCAAGTGATTATTAATATCCGATCAATGTAATTTATTATAGAGATGAAATACTCGACGAACCCTATCTATCGAACGGTTCGAATCATTGTTGCAAACACCACGGTGAGCCTACGAAGGCCCAGCAACACTCTACAATCTGATTTAGATTGAAGAGATGTCTTGCCTTTATATATCGTCTTCAATAGCTGGATACCACGTGATTAGTTTCTTGCATTATATAACCTATCGTTTAAAATAATTTGATATTTTGCCCAAGTTTGGACAAAAATTCCCCTATTTCTCTAATAAAATTCAGATAGAAGGGTATTGGAATTTATTTAAATACAAATTGAATAAATTAATGACTAAATTAACATAATTAAAATATTATTAAGGCTTAAAATGACACAATTAAATATAGATAACCAAAATGATAGAATTGTCACTTTGGTGTACTCTCCGAAACTCATTTTCTTGTCAAAACTTATTTTAGCCACTTTAAAAAATAGAATGCAAGTTAAAAAGTTAAGAATACGTTAAATAAATTATTATTATTACTATTTTTTTTTTATAAAAATGATGAGTGTGTGTAAATTATTATGTAAAAAAATTCAGTGTGTTTGCTTTGAGTTTTTTGAATTAAGTTTTTTGAAAATTGAAATTTTTGTTTTTTGTGTTTTTTTATTTTTAGTGAATATTTTTAAAATTTTAAGCATTTTTTTTACTTTTTTAGATGTACCTTATTTAGATGTATTTAAAAAGTAAAAAATTTGTAAAAAAATATTTTAAAAAATTAACAAATACATAAAAATACGAAAAACATGCTAAATTTTCGTTTTTTTTTGTATTTTTTTATATTTTTGGTATTTACTAAATTTTTAAAAGATTTTTTCACAAAAATTATACTTTTTATGTGTATATATGTTAAGTGTGTCTAAGAATTAAAAAAAAAAAATTGCTTCAACTATTAAAAAAATTCAATAAAAACAAAAAAATACAAAAAATAAAAAAGTAAAATTTTTTAAAAATTATTTTTAGAAAAACGAAACCAAACAAGCTTACAAGCTGAAACAAAACGAAACCAAACAACCACTGTCTTCAAATATTGGTATCTCTAAATTATTTTTTTTCTTTTTATAAATTTATTTTAAATCAACATAACTTTTTAGCCCAACTCATTTTTGAAATCCGACAGAGACCCAAAAGGATGTGAAGTTTAGGGCTTTAAAGCTGAAAGTAGCCGTTAAAAAAAGGCTGTTAATTTGTCCACTCCAAGAAAAAAAAACTTCCTCCTCTGTAACACATCAACTAATGCTAATGCTCATATCCAACAACACCGCTATGATTGATCAAGGATTTAATTATGCAAGTGCCTCCTTATTATAAATTAATCAAGACAAAAAAAATAGAATAAAATGAATTAACATTATTATTGTTGTATTTGAATTATTATAAATTTAAAGAGAAAGAAATAATTAAAGAAATGGAATAAAAAATAAAAATAAAAAGTTACTTTCCCCACTTTTAGTTGATGTGTTACGAGTCAAATGAAAAGTGGGGAAAATAAAAATAAAAACAGATTAGTCAAATTTTTTTTTTTTTTAGTTTATTACTCAAAAAAATTTCTCATTCTCTTTATTTTTTACACTTTTTTTTAGGAAAAAATTAATAAAACATTCATCTCTAACTTTAGATAGTAGGAGAGATCTAATATATATATATATTTATTAGTAAAGTCTTTTGATGAAAAATTTCTAAAATCATATGAGAGAAATCAAATAAATTAGAGATGAATAAATTTATCTGTGAAATCAAATAAATTTCTCTATATCAAGGCGAAAAATTTATGTGTCAAATTTTCTCTGTAAAAATGTTGAGAGATCCTAACTACTATAAAATATTATATATTTTTTATTTTATAAAATTTTGATATCAGAAATCTTAAAAAAAAATTCTCATTTCTTTAATATAAAAAGTCAATTATTTCCAAATATTATTTTTTCACTGCATATTTCAACAATAAATTACAAAATTACTTCCCAAACCAACCCGCACTGGGTGAATTGATCAACAACTGCATCTAAACAGATGAATCAATTGACTCCTTAAAACAGAGCCGTGAATACAAAGTTGACGAATAAAGTCCGATATATATGTGTGAATCCAAAATTCTTAAGGTGTGTTTAGATTTATAGATTAAGAATTAAGAATTTTGTAAAAGGAATAATAATAACAATAAATGAAATAGAAAATTAAAAAGAAAGAAAAATGCCTTTTTTGGTCAATAGACAAAAATTTACAATATTAAAAGAATTATATCGGTACAAGTCTAACGACAAAAAACTGATAATGCGAAAGAAAATAAACAATACAACAAAAATCTTTAAAAAATAATTCACTATTAAATAATTTCATATAAAAAATTTTGGTTTAAAAATAATTAACTAACCCATTTGGTTTAAAAATAATTCACTAATAAAAATTTCATATAAAACAATTTATTCAGAATAAAATGGTAGTGATATCTTTGAAATTATAAATTAAAATAATAAAGGTTATGATTTGAAATGAAAAAACACAACAAATTATATCATTCTATTTAAAAAATTTGTACAAACATTCTATATATCAAAAAATTCATACAAGTTGTTTATGGATTTTTTTTTTTTTTCTCCATTTTCCTTTCTATCTAAAATTCAAACACAAGGTAAAAAAATTTAAAAATTGTTCAAAAATTTGAAAAATAGATCCATAATGTCTGAAAAATTAGGAAACACTAGCTTCTGTTATAGATATAAATGATAAATGATATACACACAAAGAATATGCATATATATATATATATATATATCAATATGATTCATGTGTGCATGAGAGAGAGAGAGAGAGAGAATTATTACTTTGCCAAGAGTGTAAGCGAGTGCAGAACCAGCAACACCGGCACCGACAATAATGACATCGGAAATTCCATCAATCTCGGCCCGGTGAGATCCATTGACAGAGGTCTTGACGCTCTCGTGACTCTGAATCGCCATTGAAGAAGTTCTGTTCTTCTTCTTCATCGTTTTCATTCTGGAATTATACAATAGAACGAAACCTAACAGAGAAGCAATTACTCCGCCAAGAAGGTACTGGCAATCCATCATCATCAACATCTTCACCTCCATAAATGAATAAGAAATTGCGTATGTGACTGTGAATTTCAATTTCTCTCTCTCTCTCTCTCTCTCTCTAAAAAGATTTCTCTCTCTAGAATGCTGCTTTTTCCGCGTGGAGAGCGTTGGGGATGGAGTGAAACGTTGAGTGTTGTATCCGAAATGGCGCCTTTTATAGACCAGAAAACAAAAGGAGGACTCCCTCCGGTTCAAAGATGTTGTTCAGCCTGTAGAGTTTATTCCCGATTTTATTTTGATAATTTGAATTGTTTATTTTATTAATATTTCATATGTTTTATTTAAAAAAATTATTAATTTGATAATTATAACTAGCTTATTTTGGAGTGTTTTGGAAAGATAATTAAAAATTACATTTTGATTTTTTTTAGTTTTTTTCGTGAGAAGAAAAAGTGAGTTAAAAGTTAGGAAGTGACTTTTAACTTACTTCTTAAAATAGGCTTTTATTGTATTTATCATAAAAAAATATATAATCTATTTTTTTTATTGTTCATTTTTTTTGTAAAAAATATAATAAATTGAATTAATTTCAATTATCAAATCAATATAATTATTTTTATAAATAAAATACATAAAATATATAACAAAATAAATTATTTGAATTATGAAAACCACGGACAACGCGTTCAGTCAAATATTAATAATTAAAATTGTAAATATTTTTTATAAATATGTATTTTTTTATGATATCCGCTAAGGTGTAGTTATCCCTTAAAATATTACAAATTGACTCAAACACCTTTATGTGTTTGTATATATTACTTTATCCGTTCCAAAATATTAGTTTATTTTGAATAAATAATAATTTTTTAATAGTATAATTATTACACTTTAAAAATATTAATTTTTAAAAATTATTATTTGATAGTATATTTTTTTGACAACATCAATTGTTATAATTGTATTTTTTGTGTTAATAAATTTAAAAAAAGAATAAAATAAAAAATTCATATTATTTTAGTCCTTAACTTTTTAAAAACTAATATTTTTGAAATAATGAAAAATAAAATAAGGGACTAATATTTGGAGACCAAAAGAGTATTATTATTGATTTTTATAAAAAAAAATTATTTTAAGAGTTTTTTCAACTAAAAAAAATTTGTAAGTGTATTGCTTAATCAAATTTAAAATAAATATATATTTCAAGTAAATATAAATGCATAAATAATTTTTATAAAATAAGATATAAATATGAGATAACTGATAAATTTCTGTAAAAATCTAGGCACTCCAAAATTACAAAACTATTTATATGTTCATAACACAATTGATACATTTTTAATGATATATATATATGCTCTTATATAAAAATATATAATTATTTCAGATTTATTAACAATTGTTGTTAAAGGCACTCCAAAACGAAATTTTAATACCATAACTTTTTTTTTTTTGGAACGATTAATAGGATAACTACTAAAAAACGTCATACATTATGGGTGTGTTTGATTGGACGGACTGAATAATAAGGGATTAGAATTCATCGGATTTGAGTTCTGGAACCGTAAATCCCCCGGATTATTTGGTCGGATTGAATATGTATCCTGTGTTTATTTTTTTATGGGATTAGATGTTTGGAAATGACTATTTTTAGTGAATCCAACGTTTGGTTGGACGGACTGGATATGATAAATGAACAAAAAACTATTTTACCATTTTTCAATTATTTACTAAGTAATTACAATATTAAACATATCTTTAATATTTTAATTATTTTTAGCTAGATTAAATAAAAATTTATTTTATTTTATTTTTTACACAATTAAATAAATTTATTTTTTAATTAAATAAATAAAATATCAATAAAAATATATGTTATTTTTTTAATTAAAATTTTAAATAAATTTGTTTTTTAAAAATAATAATAATTAAACAATGAAATTAAATAAAACATCTATTAACATTTAAATAATGAAATTAAGTAAAATATAAACAAAATTTTAAAATAAAATATCAATAAAATATCTATAAAAAATTATTTTAAAAAATAAAATAAATAAAACATCAATAAAAAGTTAAATAAAATTATTTTATTTTTAAATTGAGACATTCAAATTTTATTGAATTTTACTAAATATAATACATAATTAAATATTAGAGAGTCAAAATGGTCATTTTACTACTTGATCCCAACAGTAAATTGTCCTACCCCCGGGATAGTATAATCCCCCATATGAGGGATAAGGAGTCAGGCCGAACTCCATGTCTGACAGACTAAAAAAAAACAAATGATGGACTCCTTTGACTAAACAATCCAAATAGTAAGGCCAAGTTTGACATGATTAAAAAAAGACAAAAAGTTAAAAAGTTATTATTCTAGTTAAGTCACATCATCCTATTTAAGTCACATCACCTCTCTAACACATCACTTCAAACCCAATCCAAACTCAACTCATATTTCATAAAAAATCAAAAAATACACTTATTTAATCTTCTCAAACTAGCCCTAAATAGTCCCCTAATCCCCCAATCAAACATGACCCTACGAGGAGTTCTATGCAAAATGATACTGTGGAACCAATCGCTATTATGAGTAAAGAATAAAAAATGAAAGGTGTTTTAAATGGTTACTCATGATTAGACTCTTTGAAATAAGGGTAAAATACTAAAACGCAGGTTCAGATTTGATAAAATTGTCGCAAAAGAAAAAATTAGGATAAATTATATAAATAATCCTTATAATTTATATGATGTGTTAATTTTAGTCTCTATTATTTTAACTTGTTTTATTTTGTCCCTTAATTTAATGAATTGTGTCAATTTAATCCAATAAATAACGGTTGTTAAGTTTGGTGAACGAAAAATCAAACTATGTGTCAATTTAGTGGTATTTTAGGAAGTTGGTAAAAAGCTGACTTTTGGATTTTTTAGTCAAAAAAGCTAAGGTGCCGTTTACGTTTACGTTTTCTATTTTCTGTTTATATTTATAAAAATTTTAAAAACTCAAATAAAAACTTGTTTGGTAAAATTTTTAATTTATAAATCAGTGGTCTTAGTTTATAAATTTGGCCAAAAAATGAAAACACAAAAAATGTGTTTCCATTTTGAGTTTTCATTTTATGGTACTTTTGTGTTAAAAATGAAAGAAGTTGAGCCTTGATTCTACCCTTATTGTATTTCTCTTAATCGGTATTAGACTACCTTTTTTCTATGTCAATCTCTCAAAATTTCCAAAGACACACTTTCACCTTAAATTTCTGAGTTTAATACATATTATTTAGCATGTTTTCATCACAATAGAAGTGCAAAATTTCCCTTACTTGACCTCTTTTCTCATTAACTTCTTATTTCAAGAACTGTGCTAGAAAAATCTGTTTTACAACCAACTTTTGAAAATTCTAGACAAATGTAGAAAAATATTCTAGACCTCGGTTTTTTGTCAAAATCTTCCTTAAGGAGTTAACTTTCAAGGAAAATTGGTTTCATTGAAAAAGAGTGAGCGGTTTGTAAGAAAATCAGATTTTCGTAATGATCGATGAATCTGGACAACGCTGGAGTGTTTCTCAAATAACTAATAATCTAGGAAAGCTATTCCATTTCCGAAACATGTTCTGAAAACTAGATTAAATTCTCTACAAACCATAGGAAGGTTGAGTTTAGGAAAAATCTGAAATAGCCTTTTTGATTTTAATCTTTAAGTGGTACTGAATCTGGAAATTTTGTTTAGCATTGGTATTTTATGGTCTTGTGTTCATGAATATGTTTATTAATATATGATCATGTCATTGTATGATATTGCATGTGTTTTGATAATATACTGTAGATTATTGGAGCAATTTGAGCAATTTATACTTTCATTTTTACTCGCTACCACCCACCACCGCCACCCACCCGCCCGCTACCACCCAACACCACCAGCTACCCACCACTCACCGTCACCACTTTCCACCACCGTCTTCCGCCGCTATTTGCCACCACTTGTCATTTCTCATTTTTTTTTTATATTTTTAATTTTTTTTTAAATATTTTGTCAATTACCAAACACGTTTGTAGTTTATGTTTTTCTAAAAATAAACAAAAACCAATTTATAAAATTTTTGTAAATATAAACTGAAAACGTAAACGTTACCAAACACACCCTAACTTTTTGGATAGTGACTTGGGTAAAAAAGTTAGTTTTTTTTACCAAAAAAGCTAAAAAGCTAGTTTTTTGCTAACTTCCCAAAATTAGACTTAGGGGTGGTTTGGGATGATCTAAATAAGTGTACTTTTTGACTTTTTACGAAAAGATGTGTAGAAAAGTAGAGAGCTGATGTGATGAAAAAAAGATAAAAAGTGTGTACTTAGAGCATCTCCAACGGTGAATCAGATTTTTCATCAAATCTTAGTCAAAAATGACTCATTTCACCAAATCTGGTACCAGATGCTCCAACGGTTCACCTTTCACCAAATCTGTCCCGGGACAACTGGGTGGTCGACCGACCGGTAAGTGAATTTTTTTTTTTTTTTAATTGTCTGAACCGTTTTTGTTGAACTTTCTGAACTTTTTCCGGGACGACCGGGTGGTCGACCGACTGGTTGACCGGTTAGGGAATTTTTTTTTTTGAACTGTTTGAACTTTTTTTTGAACTATTTGAATCTTTTACTAGTCAACCGGTTGGTCAACCGGCCGGTCAACCGGCTGGTCGACCGGTTGGTATCACCCCAACGGTCAGTAACAGTGATTTGGTGAAATGCTTCGTCTGTTCTCAGTTTGATAAAATGTTTGGTGAAATCTCATTTTGATATCGATTTGGTGCAACCGTTGGAGCATCAAACAATAACTTTTTCACCAAATTTTAAATTTGATGCTGGGTTTGATGAACCGTTGGAGATGGTCGTAGGGTTGTTTTGGGAAGTTGGTAAAAAGTTAGCTTTTGGCTTTTTACCAAGCTTTTTGACTTTTTTGGAAGTGATTTGGGAAGTTGGTAAAAAGTTGACTTTTTGCTTTTTAGTTTAATATTTATTTATGGTGTCAAATCAAATTAAAATAACCAAAATATCCTTACCCAACATAAGAAATTTATTTTTTTATTTTTTTTTCATAGCCCTTAATTTGTAATTTTAGTGCTGCGTTTTTGACACTTTCCAAAGAGATACTATGTTCCCAAAATGGCACTTATTAATACACCCCAAACAAGGCCTTAGTCCAGTAGTATAT